GCGGAGCGGTGCCGCAGGACAGGGCCGCTCGCGCTGCGGAGCGGTGCCGCACGGCAGGGCCGCTCGCGCCGCGGAGCGTGCTGCACGGCAGGGCTGGTGGCAGCCCCAGCTCCACACAGTTGCACACTTCAGAGCAGTGTCACACAGCAGGGCTGCTCACACAGTCACACACTGCAAGGCAGGTGCCACGGGGCAGCCCTGGCCCCACGTGCTCACACACCACGGGACCCCGTTGCTCGCCCACCCGCTGTCCCCGGCCACCACGCACACCAGGCCCTGGCACATGTTTAATGGCTACGTTTGGCACCATGAGGTCAGATGTTATATAAATTACAACCTGGCAAAGGTTGCCCTTCCCCACCCCCCTGCTACAGCACCCTGCTAGAAATACCCTAAAAACACTCGTAGGAAAACTGCTTATAAAAATTATTTCAAATGTTCCTGAGCCAAGTCAGTGAGCTAAAGGCAGCGGCTCCCTATGTGTTAAAATGAGGTAAATGGCTGGCAGCGCACGCGGCCCCCACCCCGAAGGGCCCCTCTACTTCTTGCCCAGGGCTTTGTCCAGGTTGTTCTTGATGGCGTCGAGGAAGTCGGTGGTGTTCACGAAGTGCTCATTGAGCTTCACGCTGCAAGGAAGGGCAGAGAGGGGCTGGGGGAGCCGGTGCCGACCCCAGCGGCAGCCGCCCCTGCCCCGCACAGGGGCTGAGGAGATGCGCTCAGGGCGCTGCATCCCACGCACRGGTGCTCCGGCCCGGCACTTCCTGCAACGGGAGCCCAGAGACCCCGGTAGCGCCGGGACCAGCCCGTCACCGTGGCAGGGTCATCCCGTCCCGGTGGCACCAAGGACGACCCCGCCCCGCGGCCACACTCACTTGGCCAGGCCGTGAATGCAGCCGGCGAGATCCTTGGTCATGGTGCCGCTCTCCACCGTTTCCACGCAGACCTTCTCCAGCGTCTGCGCGAACCTGGGGGGGCGCAGGGTGAACGCAGCCCCCGCGGGGCCGGCGCTGCCGCCAAAGGGCACCGCGGCCCCCCGTGGCACCGTGGCCGCCGCGCAGCCCCCGGCCCCCCCAGCTCCCCCGGGTGGCAGCGCCCGCGCTCACTTCATCAGCTCGGGGTTGCTGTCCAGCTTGCCCCTGTGCTCCAGGCCCCGCGTCCAGGCGAAGATGCTGGCGATGGGGTTGGTGCTGGTGGGCCGGCCCTGYGGGAGGGGACGCTGAGCGGCACAGCCCGGAGCCAGCGCGCCCGCCCGGGGCTGCGGCGCGCGCCCACCTTCTGGTGCTCGCGGTAGTGGCGGGTGACCGTGCCGTGCGCTGCCTCCGCCTCGATGGTCTTGCCGTCCGGACACACCAGCACCGAGGTCATGAGGCCCAGGGAGCCGAAGCCTGCGGCGGGGCCGGGGTGAGGGCGCTGCGGCCCGGGAGGGAGCGCGCGGCCCGGCCCGGGGCAGCCCACCTTGCGCCAGGATGTCCGACTGCACGTCGCCATCGTAGTTCTTGCAAGCCCACACGAAGCCACCCGCAGATTTCAGCACCTGGGCGACCATGTCGTCGATGAGCCGGTGCTCGTACCAGATCTTCAGCTTGTCGAACTCCGTCTTGTAGTGCCTGGGAGCGAGGGCTGGGTCAGCAGGGAGGGGACGGGGCCGGCGCTGCCGCCACGAGCGCCGCAGAGCAGCACAGGGTGCCCGAGCGCGTCACGGCGCCCGGAGCCCCTGCCCAGGGCCGCGGGGCTGCAGGGAGCTCGCGAGGGCCCCTACTTATCGAAGATCTCCTGGAAGATGTCCTTGAAGCGCCCGTCGTACGCCTTGAGGATGGTGTTCTTGGTGCTCATGTAGAGTGGCCACTTCTTCTGGATGGCGTACTGGAAGCAGCTGTGCGCGAAGCCGGAGATGGACTGCGAACGCGGCGAGCGCGGTGAGCGGCCGGCACAGCAGGGCGGCACCGGCGCGCACCCCGCGGACCCCCGCGCCCGCGCGCCCTTACCTCGTCCGTGTTGTACATGCCCATGCCCACGCCGCCCCCGGGGAAGTTGTAGACCTCCCACTCCTTCGCGGCGCTGCCGTCCTTGGGYGTGAAGACCATCTTGAAGGTGCCGGATTTGCTCACCACGAAGTCTGTGGCCTTGTACTGCGAGGAGGGCGCAGGGCGCGGGGTTGGCGCYGGCGGGAGCCCTCCCTGCCGCCGCTGCCGCCGCCGCCACCGCGCACACCTGGTCGCCGTGCGCGTGCCTGCCGATGGTGATGGGCTTGCTCCAGCCGGGCACCAGGCGAGGGATGTTCTTGCAGATGATGGGCTCCCGGAACACCGTGCCGCCCAGGATGTTGCGGATCGTCCCGTTCGGGCTCTTCCACATCTTCTTCAGCTTGAACTCTGCGGTAGGCAGAGCTCAGAGCTCAGAACCCAGCCCGCTGCAGGACCCCTGCCCAGCCAGTGGGTCCCGGCCGCCCCGACCCGCTCCCAGCGCCTGCGCAGCCACCAAGAGCAGGGGCAGCTGGCACCGGGTTCGGGCAGCACCGAGCATGAGCCCGCTGCCGTGCGGAGCCCCTTCCCCCGGGAATGCTGTGGCCGCGTCCCCGACATGCAGGAGACACCACGTCCCCGGCGGGCACGGGACGGCCCCCGCTCCCACCTTCCACCC